CAGGACCATCATGATCATTTCAATACGGGGTAGATTCGATAATGTTGATCCAGGACCATCATGATCATTACAATACGGGGTAGATTCGCTAATGTTGATCCAGGACCATCATGGTCATTTCAATATGGGGTAGATTCGCTAATGTTGATCCTGGACCATCATGATCATTTCAATACGGGGTAGATTCGCTAATGTTGATCCAGGACCATCATGATCATTTCAATACAGGGTAGATTCGCTAATGTTGATCCAGGACCATCATGATCATTTCAATACGGGGTAGATTCGATAATGTTGATCCAGGACCATCATGATCATTTCAATACGGGGTAGATTCGCTAATGTTGATCCAGGACCATCATGATCATTTCAATACGGGGTAGATTCGCTAATGTTGATCCAGGACCATCATGATCACTTCAATACGGGGTAGATTCGCTAATGTTGATCCCGGACCATCATGATCACTTCAATACGGGGTAGATTCGCTAATGTTGATCCAGGACCATCATGATCATTTCAATACGGGGTAGATTCGCTAATGTTGATCCAGGTCCATCATGATCATTTCAATACGGGGTAGATTCGCTAATGTTGATCCTGGACCATCATGATCATTTCAATACGGGGTAGATTCGCTAATGTTGATCCTGGACCATCATGATCATTTCAATACGGGGTAGATTCGCTAATGTTGATCCAGGACCATCATGATCACTTCAATACGGGGTAGATTCGCTAATGTTGATCCAGGACCATCATGATCATTTCAATACGGGGTAGATTCGCTAATGTTGATCCAGGACCATCATGATCAGTTCAATACGGGGTAGATTCGATAATGTTGATCCAGGACCATCATGATCACTTCAATACGGGGTAGATTCGATAATGTTGATCCAGGACCATCATGATCACTTCAATACGGGGTAGATTCGGTAATGTTGATCCAGGACCATCATGATCACTTCAATACGGGGTAGATTCGCTAATGTTGATCCAGGACCATCATGATCACTTCAATACGGGGTAGATTCGATAATGTTGATCCAGGACCATCATGATCACTTCAATACGGGGTAGATTTGATAATGTTGATCCAGGACCATCATGATTAGGGTTGGGTACCGAAACTCGGTGCCAATAGGGAACCGGTTCCGACGTAAACGGTAGTAACCAGACCGAATAAGAACGACAATTTCGGTGCCTGATTTCGGTGCCTGACTTAATTAGGCACACACGCACACACACACACACACGCACAGTCTCTTCTGTCTCGCATGCGCGCTCTTGCTCGCGAGGTTTGGCTGCATTTCACGTGTAAAATTACGCGTCAGAACGCCCTCTGGGTGTGCCGATAGTCTGAATCCATATAGAATAAAGCCAATTCATTGGCTGATGGCGCGGGCGCCGCCTCGACGCACTTACGTCGTCATATTATGTTGGCGCGCGCGCGCCATCTGCTCCTCAGATTTCTTTGCCGAAAAAGGAAGCTGGTCGGCAGCGCGAGGAGCTTGGCAGCGTCTCGTTCCCTATTGAGAGAACATAGGTTAGACCAGTAACCAGAGATGTTCTCTTTCATAGGTTCACTCAACGCTGCGTAGCTAAGAAGCAGTGGATTTGTAGGCTGCTGTATCACGTGCCGTTTGAACTGACGCGCTACAGCGATCTGTCACATTTCAAAGAGGCAAAACGTTATTTATTGTGTGAATCTCGTAAAAATATTTGACAGAATCTGACAGCTGTGGATTTGTTCCATGTCAAAAGTAACCTTGTCTGTCGGTGTCAGTGTCCTCTTTGTCCGCGATTTTTCTCTGTTTGAGAAAATGGATGTGTGGCGTGAGAGCGTGTGAAAAGGGTCAATTGCGTGAGAGTTGGCAGCTCTGCCTGCTAGTAATCTCTATTAATCTCCAGTATTATTACATTGTTTGATACAATATTGTTTTATTTGATATTATGTAAATGTGAATTTTTATTTTATATTGGTTTTATTATTATTTGTATTTATATTTTTTAAAGATTTAAGTTAATATTGTGTCCAGTTTGGCCCTGTAAATAAAAGGGTATTATTTTTTGATAAAATGTGTGCGGTTTCGTTTTCTTAAGTACCGTTTCAAGAACCGTTTAGGCACCGGAACTGTTTAAAAAATACCGAGTAGGTACTGGTATCGGATAAAACCCAACCGATACCCAACCCTAATCATGATCATTTCAATACGGGGTAGATTCGATAATGTTGATCCAGGACCATCATGATCACTTCAATACGGGGTAGATTCGATAATGTTGATCCAGGACCATCATGATCACTTCAATACGGGGTACATTCGCTAATGGTGATCCAGGACCATCATGATCACTTCAATACGGGGTAGATTCGATAATGTTGATCCAGGACCATCATGATCAGTTCAATACGGGGTAGATTCGCTTATGTTGATCCAGGACCATCATGATCATTTCAATACGGGGTAGATTCGCTAATGTTGATCCAGGACCATCATGATCACTTCAATACGGGGTAGATTCGCTAATTATGATCCAGGACCATCATGATCATTTCAATACGGGGTAGATTCGCTAATGTTGATCCAGGACCATCATGATCACTTCAATACGAGGTAGATTGTTGATCCAGGACCATCATGATCATTTCAATACAGGGTAGATTCGCTAATGTTGATCCAAGACCATCATGATCACTTCAATATGGGGTAGATTCGGTAATGTTGATCCAGGACCATCATGATCATTCCAATACGGGGTAGATTCGCTAATGTTGATCCTGGACCATCATGATCATTTCAATACGGGGTAGATTCGCTAATGTTGATCCAGGACCATCATGATCAGTTCAATACGGGGTAGATTCGCTAATGTTGATCCAGGTCCATCATAGTCACTTCAATATGGGGTAGATTCGCTAATGTTGATCCAGGACCATCATGATCATTTCAATACGGGGTAGATTCGCTAATGTTGATCCAGGTCCATCATGATCAGTTCAATACGGGGTAGATTCGCTAATGTTGATCCTGGACCATCATGATCATTTCAATACGGGGTAGATTCGCTAATGTTGATCCAGGACCATCATGATCAGTTCAATACGGGGTAGATTCGCTAATGTTGATCCAGGACCATCATGATCAGTTCGATACGGGGTAGATTCGCTAATGTTGATCCAGGACCATCATGATCATTTCAATACGGGGTAGATTCGCTAATGTTGATCCAGGACCATCATGATAATTTCAATACGGGGTAGATTCGCTAATGTTGATCCAGGACCATCATGATCAGTTCAATACGGGGTAGATTCGCTAATGTTGATCCAGGACCATCATGATCAGTTCAATACGGGGTAGATTCGCTAATGTTGATCCTGGACCATCATGATCATTTCAATACGGGGTAGATTCGATAATGTTGATCCAGGACCATCATGATCATTTCAATACGGGGTAGATTCGCTAATGTTGATCCAGGTCCATCATAGTCACTTCAATATGGGGTAGATTCGCTAATGTTGATCCAGGACCATCATGATCATTTCAATACGGGGTAGATTCGATAATGTTGATCCAGGACCATCATGATCATTTCAATACGGGGTAGATTCGCTAATGTTGATCCAGGACCATCATGATCACTTCAATACGGGGTAGATTCGCTAATGTTGATCCAGGACCATCATGATAATTTCAATACGGGGTAGATTCGCTAATGTTGATCCAGGACCATCATGATCATTTCAATACGAGGTAGATTGTTGATCCAGGACCATCATGATCATTTCAATACAGGGTAGATTCGCTAATGTTGATCCAGGACCATCATGATCACTTCAATATGGGGTAGATTCGGTAATGTTGATCCAGGACCATCATGATCATTTCAATGCGGGGTAGATTCGATAATGTTGATCCAGGACCATCATGATCATTTCAATACGGGGTAGATTCGCTAATGTTGATCCTGGACCATCATGATCATTTCAATACGGGGTAGATTCGATAATGTTGATCCAGGACCATCATAGTCACTTCAATACGGGGTAGATTCGCTAATGTTGATCCAGGACCATCATGATCAGTTCAATACGGGGTAGATTCGCTAATGTTGATCCTGGACCATCATGATCATTTCAATACGGGGTAGATTCGCTAATGTTGATCCTGGACCATCATGGTCACTTCAATGCGAGGTTGATTTACTAATGTTGATCCAGGACCATCATTGATTCAGAACCAATGAATTCACTAACTCCTTTGCATAGTTCATGTGGAGAGCTGATAGATGTTTTAAAATGTAATATTTCAACTTATCAGCTCTTTGTTATTGTTTCCTCTTTAAAGTTAGTATATGTGTTTGGTGATGCTGATGTGTGTTATTTTAAAATAACCAGAACAAAAACATTATGTGAAAATGAATTAACTAAGTATCATTTTTGTGTGTATACATTTCAGAAATGTTCCATGATGGAGGAGTTTATCAAAAAGTCTGTGGAAAATGAAGAAAGAAGAAAAATAAGACATAAAAACATTAAACTCAAGGTGCATGTTCTTAAACCAGATGATCAAGAAGAGAACTTTATCACAGAAATAATTAACAAAGAGCACACAAAATCATTCAGGACCACAAATTGTTCCAGTTTAAAAGATAAAAGAAGAGGATATTTTATTTTTCATCGCAGAAGATCTGGAAATGTATATGAAAGAAGTCACAGAGCTGTCGGGTGTAAAGCATACATCTCTTTTAAAGTAAGAAATGATTGGAAAGGGCACAAAGTTGTTGTGCAGAGAATATTTGACCAGCACAATGGACATGATGTTTCTGTAGAAGATGGTCATTTTCAGCAGATTCACCCTCATCTGGTGGATGAGATCAAGAAGTGGATCACATTAGGCGTAAAACCAGATGTCATCCTCCTTTAAGCTCATGAGTGGTCAAAAGCTCATGGAGAAGTTAATTATCATTCCAGAGAATGTTTTGTTAAACCAGAAGACATACATAATATCCGTACCTGTATGCTTCGAGGGAAACATCTTGATAAAGATGATTATAAGAGTACAGAGAAACTATTAGCTGGTCCTTTAAAAGATAATGTTGTATTTTATCAGCCACTGGGTAAGGATCAGGACCTTATAATCGTTTTCCAAACGGAGTGCATGAGAAAAGACTTACAGGACCATGGGAGTAACATTGTGTTTTTTGATGCCACGCATTGTGTGAATCAATATTCCTTTCCACTTTTTACATTGCTTGTGAGAGATGACCATGGTCATGGAGTTCCTGTTGCATACATAATAACAAGCAGTGAGACACAAGAAACCCTTAAGCTTGCACTTCGGAGGCTAAGACCTTTGTTCCCTAAGCCACCAAGGTAATTTATTAAGGAATTGATCTATTGGGGGGTCCACTGCTGGTTGAATAAGTTAACCTACTTTTCTTTTTCTTTAAAGGTGCTTCATGGTTGACAAAGACATGAGTGAAATAAATGCTTTGAATGACGTTTTCCCTGAGTCGGATGTTCTTCTTTGCTGGTACCATGTACTCCAAGTAAGAAGTTTTTTCCCCCTTAAATTTATTTATTCATAATTTTAATGATACTTGCATAATCCATTACATATGTCCTGGTTCACAGGCCATTGTTCGGTGGTTGATGAAGTCAGATTCCAGTGTTAGTGGGCCACAGCGTTCAAGTATCCGGAAAGAAATTATTGATTACTTCAAAAAAATGAAAGCTTGTCCTATGGTATTTGAATTTTAAATTTTAATGGTTGTATTATGCAGTTATAATATGTACATAATGTATACCATGACAACCCATTTTTAAAGGGTTGTCATTTTTTCACCCCCCAATTTTTTTTTGTTATCATGTACTTAACCTCATGTTGTTCCAAACCTGTTTGAGTTTCTTTCTTCTGTTGAACACAAAAAAAAGATATCTTGAAGAATGTTGGTAATTAAACAATTGATGGACCCTATAATGACTTCCATAGTAGAAAAAAAGAAAATGCCAAAGTCAATGGGTGCCGTCAACTGTCTGGTTACCAACATTCTTCAAAATATTTTATTTTGTGTTCAACAGAAGAAAGAAACTCATACAGGTTTGGAACAACATGAGGGTGAGTAAATGATGTCATCATTTTCATTTTTCGGTGAATTATCCCTTTAAGTCAGAAATGTTTGAATTGTATTACCATTTGCACCTTAACATTTTTGACCATGAGGCTTTTTTCATTATATATTGTGTACTTTTCCATTCACTTTCCAAATTACAAAATACTATAGATATTATACAATATTTAATCATGGATATTACTAAGCTTTTATGTTGTTACCTTTTTTGCTTGCAGACTCACAATACCTATTTTTGTTAATTGCAGAAGGCTGACTTTGACAGAGTGTCTAAAAAATTCCTAAAGGAATTTTCTCACTACGAAGAGCTTTGCAATTACTTCCAGAGGTACTGGGAACCAATAAGTCATAGATGGGCGGATTATGGACGTTGTTATAACCATGGGAATTCAGAGACCAACAATTTGATAGAAAGGTAAAATAAGACCCTAGTGAATTTAAATTGGTATTAAAGGCTGTAAAGCAGAAATAATTGACTGTCGTTGCAACTTTTCCACATATAATGAACTTGTTTTGGCACTATAAATTGTTTTTCCTTTATTCAGGTTCTTCCATCGACTGAAATACCAATTCACGAGTTCACACTTACATCAATTAAACAGAGTAAAGATTATGCGTATTTGGCGTGCTGTCCGGGGGGAGGGCTCCGAGCTCGGAATTTTGCCCGAACCCAGAGTACTCCCCCCGTTGTTGTAAGAGTATTAGGACTATAAGTGAGGAGATGGGGTGGTGGAGGGATGCTGTTAAACGGTCAATGAACGGAGGTAAGTTTGCTGTATATATATACACAGCGCTTAACTCGTTGATTAAGCACCACTCGTGTCTAATTAGGTTTGATTATCTGAATGTGCTCCACGTGTGTTTAATTAGGTTTAATTATCTGAACGTGCTCCTCCCGAACTTTGTTAATAAAACATCATTTCACGAGTTCACACTTACATCAATTAAACAGAGTAAAGATTATGCGTATTTGGCGTGCTGTCCGGGGGGAGGGCTCCGAGCTCGGAATTTTGCCCGAACCCAGAGTACTCCCCCAAAAGGCAAAAAGAGCAAAGGACAGCCGCCAGACTAAAGACCCCCCAAAACGCAGAGAATTTGGCGGGCTGGCGTTTTGAGAATAAGCCTGGTTGCTTGACCAGGAGGGCCTGCTGGCTCACGAACGGGGAGCAGTCGTAAGTTGGAACAACAGTTGGGAGGGCTCGCACCGTTTCTCGACGGGAGCAGCTCACAGCGTCAGACAGGCGAGCTCTACCGGCCGATGAACAGCGTGATTTATGCCGCCTGACCAGGAGGGCCCGTGTTGCCTCTGGCGGGAGCAGCTCACTGCGCTGGGCGGACGGGCCCTACTGGTTGACAAGATTTGGGAATGCCCAACCAGGAGGGCCCATGTAGCTTCCGACGGGAGCAGCTCACAGCGTCGGGCTGATGGGCCCTACCGGCTGACGGTGGAGTGGCGCGTTTTTTGGAAGCCCGGACTGGAGATTTCTTGCTGTCCGCTGGGAAATCGATACCTGTTGGATGGGAAAGAGAAAACATAGATGCATGCAAAGTCCGCTGGGAGACCAATGCTCGCTGGACAGAAAAAGAGAAAACATAGATGCATGCAAAGTCCGCTGGGAGACCAATGCTCGCTGGACAGAAAAAGAGGAAACATAGATGCTTGCAATGTCCGCTGGGAGACCAATGCTCGCTGGACAGAATTATGCAATGTCCGCTGGGAGACCAATGCTCGCTGGACAGAATTATGCAATGTCCGCTGGGAGACCAATGCTCGCTGGACAGAAAAGAGGAAACATAGATGCTTGCAATGTCCGCTGGGAGACCAATGCTCGCTGGACAGAAAAAGGAGAAAACATAGATGCTTTGCCATGTCCGCTGGGAGACCAATGCTCGCTGGACAGAAAAAGGAGAAAACATAGATGCTTGCAATGTCCGCTGGGAGACCAATGCTCGCTGGACAGAGGAAGAGGAAACATAGATGCATGCGACGTCCGCTGGGAGACCAATGCTCGCTGGACAGAGAAAGAGGAAACATAGATGCATGCAACGTCCGCTGGGAGACCAATGCTCGCTGGACAGAGAAAGAGGAAACATAGATGCATGCAACGTCCGCTGGGAGACCAATGCTCGCTGGACAGAGAAAGAGGAAACATAGATGCATGCAACGTCCGCTGGGAGACCAATGCTCGCTGGACAGAGAAAGAGGCATCACGTAGGGGTTTTAACAGGAATATTAATTCTGAATAGTGAGGTACTGGAGAGGAGACATCACTGCTGCGGCAGTGGAAAAATAGCCTGAGAAACAGAGCTCCTGCGGGAGCAGAGGAGACATCACTGCTGCGGCAGTGGAGAAAATAGCCAGAGAAACAGAGCTCCTGCGGGAGCAGAGGAGACGTCACTACTGTGGCAGTGGAGAAACTTACCTGGAGAAAAAAAAAAGAGCTCCTGCGGGAGCAGAGGAGACATCACTGCTGCGGCAGTGGAGAAAATAGCCAGGGAAACAGAGCTCCTGCGGGAGCAGAGACATCACTGCTGCGGCAGTGGAGAAAATAGCCAGGGAAACAGAGCTCCTGCGGGAGCAGAGACATCACTGCTGCGGCAGTGGAGAAAATAGCCAGGGAAACAGAGCTCCTGCGGGAGCAGAGGAGACATCACTGCTGCGGCAGTGGAGAAAATAGCCAGGGAAACAGAGCTCCTGCGGGAGCAGAGGAGACGTCACTACTGTGGCAGTGGAGAAAATAGCCAGGGAAACAGAGCTCCTGCGGGAGCAGAGGAGACGTCACTACTGTGGCAGTGGAGAAACTTACCTGGAGAAAAAAGAGCTCCTGCGGGAGCAGAGGAGACATCACTGCAGCGACAGTGGAGAAAATAGCCAGAGAAACAGATCAGATTATTTTATTTAATGCCATGTCGGCATCCAGAGCTATTTTCATGGCAAAAATTCAATCACAAAAATACAAGTATCATATAAATACAATAAAAACAAAGCAAATATAAACAACAAGTCATATTATATAATATATATATTTAAATTAACATGATAAAAAATCTAAAACCTTTTCAGGCATAATCTCATCAAATATGTCCTTCAATGAAGAAACTTCATAAAAGAGCATTCTGCTTGCATGAAGGGCAGAACAATCTAATAAAACATGTTTGACAGATAAGGGAATTTTACAAAACATACACAAAGTTGGGTCTTCAACTTTAAGCAAAAAGCATGGGTCAAACTTGTGTCCAGAGAAACAGAGCTCCTGCGGGAGCAGAAAACTTACCTGGAGAAATGAGCTCCTGCGGGAGCGGAGAAGACATCACTGCTGCGGCAGTGGAGAAATTTACCTGGACAAATTGAGTTCCTCTGGTGTGAGGCTGAGCAAAGGGAGGAGTAGGTTGGGGCCTGGTGGGCCGATGCTCGTCTTCTTGCGCGTTAATCAAAAACGCGAAGAGGTGGTGAGAGATTAAATCCTTGCAGGATTATGCGCATCTGAAGTTTAAGTGGCCGAGCAAAGATAGCAGTTCGCGTTTTAGAACAGTGGGAAGGTGGGCGAGATCAAAATATCCTATCGATTTTTTCTTGTGCAGTGAGGCCTGGAAAACAACTGTATCCAAGTTAATGCCCAGAATTCAAATGGACGAGGCTGAACCCATGGTTTTAACCTGTGCAATTGGAATCCCGAGCTCAGCAGAAACTGTGCGGGGCTGAGAGATCGATTATTAAACGTACGAAAATGTTCTTATTTTCTCCGTTTATTTCGTTTATTTTGATCATTTCTATGGGTCATATTACCTGCCGATTTGTTCGTTCTGAATCAGAAAAACCAATAGTGAAACTGTGGCTTTAAACTAGCCTACCTACTTCAAAAAAATAAAAATAAAAATGCATTTATGCTATAACTTTAAGTTTCTAAGCGATTTTTGTAAATAAATTGCAGGACAGTGTTAACGAAAGGTTCTTAATGATTCTGTGTGCAATCTGCACGTAATGTGCGACCTATTGTTTACGTGTGAGTTTACCAAAAGGAAGCATCGCGTTAATGAACGGCAAATCATTTGTACGGAAACTATTTAAAACGCGCGTTCCCCCGATCAAAATTAGTATCCAGATAGCATAACTTGCTCGTGATTCAACAACTGAAGTGATACGAAGTTCAATTAGGGACAGAAAACGAAAAGGTTTTGAGCCAAGCACTCACAGAGTTGACCCGGCAGATGTTGAGTGTGGACTGACCGGGACTGAATCTGCAGCGCGGCTTACTTAGGGCCTGCTGGGGCGGCCTGACGCTGGAGGAAGACCCGTTCCTTCGAATTAAGAGGGCGGCATTGCCTTATGACCATTTCTCTATGGCAGGAATTATTGAATGGGACAGTTTAAAGAAATACGCGGAAGTAGATTGCTGATGTTTCGCCCGCGGTGGCGAGGACCCATTTGTTTGGCCTGACGCCCACGAGATAATACCAGAGGATTGTGGCAAAGATTCCTAATCCTGAAGGACGAAAGATTCTTCATCAAACGGGAAGCGCTCGATTCGGGCATGTTAGGAAGGTACTGCGGGGCCAAATGCTGTTAAACGGTCAATGAACGGAGGTAAGTTTGCTGTATATATATACACAGCGCTTAACTCGTTGATTAAGCACCACTCGTGTCTAATTAGGTTTGATTATCTGAATGTGCTCCACGTGTGTTTAATTAGGTTTAATTATCTGAACGTGCTCCTCCCGAACTTTGTTAATAAAACATCATTTCTTATCTGGGATAAGAAATCGGCGTTTGGATGACTTGCTTGACGTCCACATTACAAGAGAATCATCAGAAATATATGTGTATAATGTGCCATCCGAACAAGACTCCTCACTTTCCTAGAACCTGCCCAGCAGAGTGTTTCTGCAGTTGCCCTGTGGGTTTGAAAGGTGAAGTATGCAAACATTTGGTGTTGCTAGATATACTCAAAGATAAGGATGATGCATTCTCTGAACTTACTCTTCAGCTGGAAGCTCATGCAAGAGCTGTACAAGACAAAGGTCACTTCAGTATCTGTTCTGAGGTGAAGATGGAAATCGACGTGGAAAGCTTTTTTGGGAGAGGAACATATCATACAGATTTGGAAACATATTCTTGTACCTGTTGCACATTCTCATATCATGGCATATGTCCCTGCCTTATTTTAGCACAACAGTTGTTTGGCATGACCATTAATGAAAAAAAGTGCTGTTCTGTGAATCAATCAGACAATGCTGATGTGTATTTTGAGAAACAAGACACAAGTTCAGACTTCCGGAGACTAGAAGATGTTCTTGAAATTGTCAAAAGATGGCAGACTGTCCCAGAGAGCATCAAAAGCCAAATAAATGATCTCTATGTTAACGTGCAACAAGAAGACAGAAGTCTTTTGTCAAAAAGGCATTGCACCATTGACACTTCAAGGAAGATACAGCCACTCTTCCCATGCAATGCAAAAAATAGAAAAAAGACTTCCAAGGTTTCCAAGAAAACTTCTGACACAAATTCAGAAGGGTTTAAAAGAAGAAAGACACCCCCCCCCCCCCCCCCAAAAAAAGTAAGAAAATTAAAGAAAACGTGAATACAGAATTGGGTGCAGAATACCTTGTATGAAATTTGGGTATCAAATGAAGAGCTGATTTTAGTGTGGCCAATTTTTTTGTGTAATATTTCATTTCTAAACAATACTGTTTTCGGAAGAATTTGCAAAGCTGTTTTCAATGTAATGTATTTTGTGTGCTAAAAAGTAATTCTGTCAATGTAAATTTAATATTTTAGATCTTTTATTAATTACAGTTGCAGTACCATTGCAATGTGGCTAGATGACATATGGTATGTTTCTGTTTCTGTTCATAAGGAATTAAACGTCATTCATCCAATACAATTTTTTTAATATCCACATATTAAAGATGTAAGAAACTTTACACTGAGCATATTGATATAACAAAATTATTAATACAACACAAATATAAGGGTATTTTACAGAATTAAAAGACCCCTACTGATTCAATTAGTTCTCAGTTATAAACAAAACGTCAAACATAAAAGGTTATTGTCAGATTTAACAACCTTAGTGCTGCATTTGAAATGTATTTGTTCTGCTTTCATTTTAGACTCTCTGAGATGAAGCCTAACACTCCATCCACGGCTTGTGGACCAAATGTGTGGGTTAATAAACTGAAAGCTGATCTAGAATCCAGGCTTGATTGCAAGTTGGCACGTACACTAGCCAGAGTTGTCCTTTAATGAAAAGAAAAAGGTGAAACAGTTAATAAAATTACATCAAA